TGGTAGAATCTATACATGCCTGATGTATGAGGCTACAATGTCACAGTTAAATTTCAAAAGCTAATTTGGTGAAGAGGTTAATGCTCCTTATATCATATAATTTCTATGGCATTCTTACTGTCAGTGTGTTACATGTAACGTATGCCACTGCCAGTGCCAGTGCATGTGGTGGTGGTACTGTGTAGTTTTTGCCTGCGTTAATTAGTTACAGTGGCAGGCTCTCTATTTCAGCCTGTAGGCTTGCGTAGGTAAATGGATGTGTGCTTGCCTATTCTGTCTTGGCAAATAGTTGTTACTACTCTACTACGTACGATGGGAGCTTCCACCTTTAATCTGAAGACACTTAAACGTACGCGCCATCTCGTGGCATCTTTCATAACGATCCCAACGAACATTCCTTTGAGAAGGTTCCTGATACCATCCCTGTGCCTTCCACTGTTTCGGCGTGTATGTGAACACATTTGGGACTAACAGGGTTTACTAGAATCCCACCACTCTACCACAGAGGCACCGCAGTAGACGTTAGATGAGCGCTGTCGCTTCGCTGCACTTGTGCTTTGTGTCAAGTTGTCAACAAACCCAGACCTATATTATGTAACATAATATAGGTCCGGGTTTGTTGACACAAAGCTTAGTGACGTCATGCAGTTGGGCCTACACATCATTCACGCATTTTGCATTAAATTGCGGTGATTTCTCACAATTTCTCAAGCTGCACAGAACATTTTACCAATTTAGTGGTTTCAGCTAGTCATGGATATGTTGCAGTAAGTACCCATTTTGCACATAGGCGGTCAATCATTTTGAAAAGTAGAAAAACGCTGATTTCTCTGTTTCAATTTGTCCCATAGCAGCCGATGTATTAATGGATATTTCTTTATCATTACAACTCAAAATAATTAAATTTTACACTCGTTTTAATGGTAACACATTGCTGTAAAAATGGCGTTATGGTTTAATTAAGTGCCGTCTTTTATGAGTTATGGTTCTTTTCTGCATGTATTTTCAATCCGAACATAAGAGTTAAATTTTAGGCTTGTTTTTCATTTTTTCGGTAAATATGAAACTTAAAGAAAAATGTTGCGTGATTTTGATGCATGTTGTGCTTAACTTGTGGCAAGCATTTTGCTTTTATACTCTGGTAATTAAGGAATATCCAAAATACCATTTTTCATTAAAAAATTCAAAATTTGTGTTGTCACATAATTAGGTTCTAGAAATTTCAGGGAAGTATTTGGCTTGAGCATAGTGATACATCTCATCTATAAATAAAACGTGTGATTGATTTGATTCATTTGTCAATAACTGTTTATTCTTTATTATAACAATACCTGTGCAAAACCTTGAGTGTATACCAAACTGAAATCATCGCTGGTCAATGTGTTGAAAGCAAGATTGCACTTTCTGTTTTGACAAATTTTGAACATTTAGTGTTGTGATGTTTTTACAAGGTAAAATGTGATAAAAGCGATTTAGAATGCTAATAATGCTTTGCAAGTGTATTATAATGTAGGTAACAGGGTTCTCCCCAGGATGAAATTCAAACAGGGGGGAGGGGAGGGGTAGGGGGGGGGAGGGGGAAACGTAGGGGGTTCGGGGGCGTGTATTTTTACCGTACGACTAATTAATGGGTAAAATCGCCACCACACCATAGACGGTATTGGGGTTCTTGTTATAGATAGCCGAGTCGTGGGGTTTCTGTACAGTAGTCAGCAGGTTAAACTGTGCATTGTCAGGTTAACTTGTGTACTGTTCTGCCAGTTGCATGCGTGTCAGATGTCCTGGTCTTTACAGGGGATCGATTCCGGCGCTGTCAAACTTTTATTGTGGTGGAATTTTCCAAACGGGGCGGAGGTAATTTAAACGGGGCGCAACGATTCAAACGGGGGGGGGAGATTTTCCAAACGGGGCGGGCGCGCCCCGTTTGCGCAACGTGGGGAAAACCCTGGGTAAGATGTTAATGGAGTGCGATGTGTAAATATTTTTTAGAGTTGTAATGTTACGTTGTCCGAAACATTAGAAAGGTTGTTGTACAAAAATTTGCCACATTTGATTATTGAATCTTATTGTATCTTAAAATAGCATTGAAAATATGAAAAATTCTAGGGCATTATTTATTGGTCTAGATGCCATTGTAAAGTTGGCCAACTCTACTGTGAGGCGTCACTGAAACAGTGAAAGCTACAGCGGTCTCGCGTGGCTCTGACTCGCTCCCCCAATAAAACCAGATTAGTTGTCAATGTGAGATATTGACTTTGGGCTTACCTTACAACTATACACAATCATATAGCAGTCCTAGAACAATATCAAATAGAGACAGAAATACTATAGGTTGATGTTTAGTACTCAGAACTTCAAGCTAAACAGTCACATTTGTCAGCGCCACTGTGCCCTTGATCAAGGCACTGTATCAAGCTTTCCTACAGCTGACACCAGGTGTAGAAATGGTTTAAGACGGAGACATCTCAAGGGTAGTGGTCATGGCATGACTTGAGTTCAGGTAAGTCAGTATCTCATCGCACATGTGCCCCTGGACAAGGCACTTTACTCCGATTACCCTGTATCGAGGTACAGGTGATGTTCTGCTGACGTAGAAGTATGTACACTGTTGCTACGGATACAAAAATCCAAGAGTACACACAGCATACTTGCCCTTCCTAAACCACAGATTCCCAAGGCATATATTGTAGTCATTATCTTGATCTGAACCCGCAAGTCCAAGTGTATTTGTCTACTTTTTAGTTTATGGCTTCGTTGTAGTTGCAGACTGAAACAGATTATGAGTTCAGCATGTTGCCATTTTATACTTTTTCATTCGTAGTACTTAGTTCTTAGTAGTCGTAGTTCGTAGTAGTCTTTCAGTAGCAGTTCATTTCTGTATTCCACGAACGCTTGTTTGTTTGCTCTTCGCTACTTTCCTAAAGCCTAGCGCAAACTTGCGACTTTTGGTTGCTCGTCGATGCAACCGCATGCGATCGGTCGCACGCTTCACCGTGTGTGCGCATGCAAGTCGCTGTCTACCCGCACACATGAAATTTTGAAGCGATTTCGGAGCGATTGCGAGCGACGAGTTGCTGAAAATCAAATCAGTTTGATTTTTTGCAACTCGTTGCAAGTGACAAGAATCGCTACAAATTGCAGTTGCACGTTTCTGCAGACATAGCGATTTCACAGCAATTTCGACTCGCAGCCGAGTTGCATGAAAAAGTCGCAAGTCTGCGCTACAACGAGTTCACAGAGCTCGGAATGCGGCACGCAACGTGCAGATGCACCCCCGAAACATAGCTCCATAAACGCTCCATAACTGCACGATATTTGGGATGGCTGTACTGGGTGTGTCATTAACTCGGTGTTTACCCGATCATGGCGCTTATGACTCTCTGCTTCGAAGTATTTGCTGAATGCCGTCCATATAGAACCAGCGTAACGGTGGCATGTAGAGCATATCTGTCGTTAACTGTCAGTGACCTGCATACACGGTGCCGTGCGTTAACATCTCACCTGATTTCACCGCCGCCGCATAGTCGCCGTGTGACAACTAGGTGGCGGTTCATCGCTACTTGTACAGGTGATCCAGGGCCACGCATATATGTAGCACGCGCACGCGATATAGTGCTGTGCGTGAAATGCGACCGTGGTCAGGTTCGGGGCTTTTTAAGTTTGCAATGGAGTTTTGGTTCGGCAGCCATTCTGGTTACGGATTCCGGGGGGACGTTTCCGCCGGCATGGCTAAGGGGAAGCGTAGCGGTGACAGGCACGTGTCGGATGGTGAGTTGTTCCTTGAATGCATTCATGTTTGTCAGATTTGGCACGTAAAATTAATACGTACATATTTTTACTTTCAAGACGTGTTATTACTTTCTTAGCTCGAGTGCCATATTATTGGTGTGCATGTGCATACGTTTGCGCGTGCGCGTTCTGTTTCCATTTGGATGGGTGTGGGCGTGGTGGGGTGTAAATATATGCGCGCGTGCCTTCTTGTATGCGCGTGCATGTGCACGTGCGTGTAGTAGTTTTAATGAGTTCGATCGGTTCTACAAGTAACTTAACGTGCGGCAAGGCATTCTTGTGCAGGTGTCACCTACTAGGTGACCTTAGTCAGTCATTGGCACACTTCTGTAAAAACTTATACACGTCCATGAACTGGGGCAGTCAGCAAAGTTGGTCTTTGCTCTACCCCATATAATCTGTCTTCTGTGTATCTCAAACGTGGACATTTGTGTGCGTGGCATGTAAGCTGTGAAGAGGAAAGTTTAGTACAAAGTAGTAGCGAGAAAAATGTTCAGCACAATTGTGTCTTCAATGTTTGGTAAGGATGCAGTTAGTTATTTGGCGTGATTAATATTAAACTAACAGATGTCGCTTTCCACTGAAATACCAATAATTCGAGGTGTTACACAAAAACTGGAATGTGGTGAGAAATCATTGAATTCTTTTGCATGTTTAGATGTTGTATGTGAATATTTAATACGTTTTGGAACAAATTCGAAACGTTTTTAATAGAAATGTTTTGAACTTTTTGTATTTTTATTTTTATTTAGGTTAATTTTACTGTTAAATCTGTTAGATCGCTAAGTATAAAAGCGATATGTAATATACTATGCGGTAACATGGTCTAGTTGTTTTGGTATGGGACATATGGTTAGCTGTGTTATTGGTAATAGCAATAGTCAGTAGCATCAAGAGACAACTTTTTCTTTGTTATACAGTGTTTTACATGCTATTTGTTACACAGTCAGTATGTTACATGCTATGTTTTACATAGTTCATGTGCTTTTGGTAGCATAGTTTTACACATTCATATGTGCATCTATATTTAGAATTATGTTGGGTGACAGCGAGTTAGTTCACAGTGCATGCAGAGCATATCGATCCATGCTGCTGGTTCATCGACCAATGACCCAGCCACCAAACCAGGATTTGTATGTTCTTTGTGTTTGACCCCTTGGCCCTCCACTTAAGAATCATCACCCTCGCTCATGTGTGAGCATATGGAGGGCCCACTGACAGGTCTGTTACCGCACCCTTACCCAGTGGCAAAACTTGCTCGAGAAATGGCCACTAGTAGATACAATAATGTAACCCAAACCCAGGATAGGCCCCTATCCTGGGTTTGGGTTACATTATAATATTGTATCTAGGCCACTAGTAGAGCCAGCTATAGCTGCGCTACATAGAACTTGTAAAAACTAGAATACATGGCGGTTGATCGTGGTCGCGCAGTTTCCTGTTTTATGCCGAGATATAACTACAGCTAGCTAGACTACGAGAGTGCGCGTCAATACATTCGCGTTGAGTCATCGCAATGGAGAAGTGTGTTTGTGGGCGTAGATAACTGATTTGGATGTCGGCAAGACTACCCAGTACTCAGTACCCAGTACCCAGTACCCAGTGACTTGCAGAAGCGGTGTCATAGGTTCCGACTGCTGATATCAGATTTCACTAAGCTGCATGGCCGCGCTGCGTCTGTGACGCGGGAAGCAGTGTGTGTGTGTGTGCCTGGCTGGGAGCATTAAGAGCGATCCGCGGACCCTAGCCATCCTGCATGAGTGTGCATAGCGTACAAGGAAGGAGCGGTTTGCTTTGACCGCAAGCATGTTCGGGTTCAAGACAGGTATGTTTGCCACACGAACACTGCGCGGACAGAGACGTACGTGCGCGTGTGTGTATGCTAGGCATATTTTTTAACGGTGGTATCTGATGCATGCTATTGCGAGTTTCAATATTGAATATTCGTTAGGGTTATGACTGATGACATTTTTACCCATGTCGGCCCAATTGCATTTAGCCTCGGATCTTCCAGCAGTAGAGAATATCAATATGAATACATATATATATGTTCGTGATAGTACGTATGATTATAGATTGAATGTTGCAGTTCTTATTTTGCGGTAAAAATAGTATAGGTGGTTAATAAAGCGTAAACGCTACTGATACGTAAATATTTTGAGTTTATGATTGCCAAATGGCCAACATACCTGTAATATAGTGCTTGCCCCTCATAGCATCGCATAACATATGATACGTACGGTACAAGGTATGATACAAGGTATGCTACAATTAGGTATAGCTACGTTCACACGTATACACGGCTTAGCTGGTACCGTACTTAGTTGGTGCTAAGTCCGGTTAAAATGCGTTCACACGAGATACGCGAGATTCGAGGCTTAGCTAGCTCGGTATAATATAGACTGGTACCCGGTCGACAGTTCCACACGCTACCCTAACGTCGTGCAGCGAACGGGTAGCAGTCTAGGTTAGAGCGCTACAGTTTCACAATTCACACGAACAATGCGTTCACAATGCGCGAACAACACGAACAATGCGTTCACAATGCGCGAACAACACGAACAATGCGTTCACACGACAATCAATACGCGGCCAGCGTGGTGCCGAATATACGCGGCTTAGTTGGCGCGGAATATGATTCCGCGTTAAGCAAGCCGGAGCATTCGCGGCTAAGCAAGCCGTGGCTAAGCAAGCCGCGTATATTTTAGCGTGTAAACGCAACTAAACTCCTCGTGTGAACGCAGCTTATGATATAATAAGGTATGATACAATGTATGATATAAGGTATGATACAAGGTATGATATAAAGTATGATACAAATTAAGGTATGATACAAATTAAGGTATGATATAAGGTATGATATAAGGTATGATATAAGGTATGATACAAGGTATGATTCAAGGTACGATACAAGGTGTGATATAAGGTACGTATGCTACAAGGTATGATACAATCAGGAGTAAGATAATATAGGAGGAGTATGACACTCCAAAACACGTGAAATTCAACATTTGCTTGCCTAATTTTACCGATGATATATTACCTGCAACTCGATAAAAATTACATCTAAATTAGCGTTGGGCATCCACCGCACACTCAAACTTTACTTTGTTTCCATACCTCTTCTTTTTATGGAGATATAGCTTTGAACGTCACACATGGTTTATAGATAGCGTTTGACTATGGTGGTGGTTTACGTTGCTTCCACGTTCAAACAGTGGCTAGCCTGTGAGGAATGGTCTTGTCTGTTGACAAGAATGCCACCTGTTGGCGGCAGGAGTAAGATAATATAGGATATTATATAATATAGGATAATATAGTATATGTGTGTATATATATAGTGTGTATATATATATACGTGTATATCAAGAGTAGATAATAACACAAGGGTGAGACAACCGATTCCCGCATTTTTAACCGATTTTTCTCATCAAAATTTGCCACCAATAAAGAAGCGATCCCGCATTTTTAACCGATTTTTCTCATCAAAATTTGCCACCAATAAAGAAGCAAGTGTATACGTTCCTCAGCTTATTATGACTCCTAATCACTCACCTTCGTGGTACTGATATTCGTTTACATATATTTGACAGCGTATTGCTATAAATCGTAATCTTGCACGAGCTGAATTCGCACGATTTACCGCTTTTGTTGTGACCTGTTTAGCCATTATTTAGAAGCTATCGGGGCGCCAATATTTAGCAACGGACGTTTCCAAATCATTCGTGTCCCGATAGGGTTGAGAACTTGAGAGACAATCTAAATTTCGAAGTTTGATCTCGTGAGAAGCCGCGAGACGCGCTCAGTTATTGTGATCGCAACACAAGAAATTGACATACTATCTTACATAAGTAATAATACAATAATAGCAATATTCTCTGTAGTAGTTTGCAGTAAGTATCACATTACGCGCGCGCAGGTAATCAAGTACATTAAACCCCTATCGGGGGCACGAAATGATTTGAACACGTCCGTTGCCTACTATTGGCGCCCGCGATTGCTTTCTAAATTATGGCTAACACAGGTTCGCAAACAATCGCATTTTACAGGTAAAATTTGCGAATTCAGCTCGTGCAGATTACGATTTACAGAATATCGCTAGCAAACTATATGTAAACGAATATCAGTTACCACGAAGGGTGAGTGAATTAGTGTCATACATAAGTGCACAGCTGGAACGTTACACTTACTTCTTTATTGGTGTAAATTTTTGATGAGAAAAATTCTGTTAAACAAGTCCGCGGAACGGTTGTCTCACTCTTGTGTTAATTATCTATCTTGTGTATATATATAGGAATAATATATAATAGCTGTGTAGTGATATAATATACGGATATGAATATAGGATCTCTATATTATTCTAACTCCTGCCCGCCAACAGGTGGCATTCATTGTCAACAGAGACAAGACCATCATCACGGCTAGCCACTGTTTACGTGGCGGTGGAGGCAACTGTAACCACCACCATAGATCAAACGCTATAAACCATTGTGTGACGCTTCAAGCTATATCCTTCCATAAAGAAGAGGTTATGGGAAACAAAGTAAAGTTTGAGTGTGCGGTGGATGCCCAACGCTAATTTAGATGTAATTTTTATCGAGTTGCACGTAATATATCATCGGTAAAATTAGGCAAGCAAATGTTGAATTTCACGTGTTTTGGAGTGTCATACTCCTCCTATATTATCTTACTCCTGATACAATGTATAACTTAATTAGCATGATGACTGAAGATAAGAGGAGATACCATCAACTGAATCACGCCATATTAGACTGAACCTGTATCTTCACAGTCAATATTTGTAGGCTCTCAATTCACTAAGAAGCTTGAGGTGCCTTGTTATGTGTAACCCATCTCATATCACAGGACAAACACATCTTAGCAGTAACACACATATACAGTCAAGAGTCCATAATAGCGGTTCCAGATAAAGAGTCCATCTCTATTATGGACCCTTGATATAGACTAGTGCACGGCATGTAAAGCCATAAATGAGCCGTGATATGGAGCAAAGTGTAGATAATAACATTCTGTGTAGGGCTATTTATGTCGTGAACTTTCTACAGTCCACTTGTCTTGAAAAACACGAAAAGTAATGTGCTCTAAAAACTTCCACGGAAGTGCCCGTAGGCTCTAGTTATGTGCTAGGGAGTTAATTAATGTTCAAGGTCAAAGTCATGTAACTGCAGTATAACTATAACCGTATGACTTGCGCATATGTATGCAGTGTTTATATTTTTGCCAAAGTACATGCAGAATTCTCCATTCAACTGTTCAAGAGATAGTTTTCGATAAAATCACCCACCTCGAATTGCATTTCAATATTAGGCAAATCCATGATGAATGACGTACTTGACCGCATCTGATAAGTCCAGGCACCGCGCAAAGACAATTCTTGGTGCCACACAGACGTGCGTGACGCTGACCTACTAGCAGTTACCATGGTGATCACCATTCAGGTGCCATCTATTCGCAGGTCCGTTTCCGACCTTCACGCCACGCCGCGCGATAACGGTTGATCTAAGGAGCCTCGTGATGGGACAGACGCTTTCCGAGCCAGTCACATCGAAGGAGACAACGGGATGCGAGAACGTATACGTGAAAGTTGCTTCATCTTGCATGCAGGGATGGAGAATGAGTATCCTTGCATAATGCGCTTAGTTTGAGACTCGCTCGTATCGAAATCTCTAATCTCTAAATCTCGAATCTCTATTATTCACTCCTGATGTTATGATTTAATATCAGTATTGTCTAAATTGTGAATCTGTGTAATCAATCATATAAATTTATGCATGTTTATATCCATAACCATGTTTAGTTTGCTTATAATTAGTATTAAAACATTTAGTTAATAAACACAAGTTTGCCTTTATTGGCCCAGTATAACAGCTGTCGACATAGATGTTCATTGCCATTGATTTTTGCCCTTGACTGGTATCGCAGACATGGAAGATGCCCATACACATATCCTTGCTCTGTCTGAAGACAAAGAGGCTGCATTCTTTGCTGTTTATGATGGCCATGGTGGTTAGTACAAGTACTATCAGGACAAATGCCCCTGTACAATCACGCCCCCCCCCCCACTGATAATGACCTGCCTCAGACAATTACCCCATGATAACAACCTCTGGATAAAAATACGGCCATGCCATTCATCCCCCCCCCCAGGCAATTACCAAAGACGTTCACCTCCTGGACACATGCTGCCGGACAATTACCCCTGAACGAATACACCCATGCCATTCACTTCTAGTACCATTACCCCATGAACAAATACTCCCATGCTAATGAGGTGGCACAGTTCACGCCATGTTTTTCTTGAGGTAATTGTCCAGGGGATAATTGTCAGGTGGGAGCAGTGCCGGATTAACCATTAAGCAGACTAAGCACGTGCTTAGGGCACCAGGGCCAAAGGGGGCACCACAAAGTTAGGAAAAGGGTGAAAAGAAAAAAAAACGAAGAAAGATTTGTACTTCCCAGGTGTACCACAAGGGGCCCCCAACAATACAATACAATACAAGGGGCCCCTAATGCCACCCAACAAGGTGCTAATTCCCAATTATCAGAAAGTGAAAGGTACTCAAAGACTTGTCAGACACTCATTGATGCTTATCCAGATGACATGAACAACACTTTGTCTACAGAGCTTCAGCAGTTCCATTCATATGTTCTTCATAAGTTTAAAACAACCAAGAAAACATCTTTCACTCACATGGAACTTTACAACACAATTACAGAAGACAAACTAGACAGTGCCTGTCCAAATGATGAAATTGCCTTAAGAATATTTTTAACATTAATGGTCACCAACTGCACAACAGAGAGGTCTTTCTCACAACTTAAACGTGTAAAAACCCCAAATAGATTGACTCGTAGTCAGAATGAAGGTGTACATGCATGTACGCTCAAAAGTGCCTCAAATACCATCTCCGGCGATCTACATTTAAAAAATTTCTGGGGGAGGACCCCCATACCCCCCGCCTGTCTATCACCACCCTCCTTGAAATCCTACATAAATTTTTGTACTGCTGCAACCTGCATTGTATATCTGGTCAGACAGGTCCACAACTAAAATGGACTGTACTACTGGGTCCGTGTGGAAAGGAGGGGGGCACCAAGATTGGTCAGTGCTTAGGGCACCAGTGAGCCTTAATCCGCCCCTGGGTGGGAGTGATTGTCTGGGGGGGAGGGTGATTGTCCTGAGGGGTTGATTGTCGGGTGTTGGGGGTTGGGGGCAGGGTAATCTTGCGTGAGGTAAATGGCATGGGGGTATTTGTATTAATGTTGGGGGTGATGGGGTATAAGCTCATGCTACCATGGAACTGCACCCTAGAATTTTAGGGTATATTATGCTAGTAAGTGCATGAATACCAGTATGTACCTACAAATTTCTATAATCATGCATTCACATTTGTCATCATCTTTCAGTTCAAAATCAGAGTTTCAAAATCTTTAATTTTGGCTGCTGACATGACACCCCGCAATGGGGTTAGTCCAGGGCTCGAATTAACCGACGGCACCGACGGCAATTGCCGGCGGTGCCCCTATCAATCGCCGTACTGCCCCTGAAAATCCAACCCGACCGACGGCAGTGTCGTGCCTTGCCCTTTTCTGTAATTGCCGTCGGTGCCTCTGCCTCTGGCTAGACTGGTTCGCGGCCGCACTGTTTGTCGCAGAGCGTGTACATTCTCTAGCAGAGCGTGTACATTCTCTAGCAGAGCGTGAGGCCGGATACCAGTCTACCCGGCGGCAAAAACAATAACGTGGTATTGCTGCCAACCGCTGCCAGTAGACGATCGATAAATAGTGCACCTGTGTATGCCCGTGGTAGAACGCGTATATTTAAATGCTGCACGCCCGGACTCGGCCCGCGTGCGATTTAAAGCGCGGAAAACGACGCTCGCGCAAGAATGGCCAGTGATCTGTACGGTGTGTAGCTTGCTTGCTAAATGCAGTAAATTTAGAGAAATTTTAGTAGAATTCATACGATGACACAAAGTTTTCCATAACAATGGCCTTGGTGCCCTTCTCAAATTGTGAGAGTTGCCTTGATGCCTTTTAAAATTGCCTCGGTGCCCATTCAATTTTTAGCAGAAAATCTCAATGGCCACATTTTCCCTCCGACATAGCCCGCCCAAAAATGAATATGCCTCTGCCCTCTCGTCGCTCCATAACGTTCTGGATGGCCTGGGTTTAGTCAGCTAGCTTTGTCTAGTGGTTACATGGTGGCGAGCGGGGAAGTTTAGAGTAGCTTACAAACGAGTTGCCGCAATCAAACGCCATGGTCGGCCCGGATGTTAGTGGAGACACGATCACCGAGGACATCGACGAAGATAGCGCGTGAATCAGTCATGGCAACCGCGGATACCGGCGGGTCATCGTCATACGCGATACTTAAGTCTCCAAGTTTACAACATGCTTCGTAAATGTGTTATCAGCGAATCACTTCAGAGAGTGGCTGACTATTCCACACTAAGCACACTTTTAAGTAAGTGGTAATATCGAAAAACAGCTTATTATAAATTTTAGTTCATCTAGCTCAGTTTTGACTTGAGGTTTGCAGTAGGTTCTTCCTTTCTTACCACACCTGTCCAGCTGCAGTCTCGCCATTATAAAAACAACTGTTTCAGTGTGTATCGATGTGACAGCATTTATCGCTACAGAGCAGTCGTTATAATTATAATAGGGACTAATGCCAGTGGGCAACGTTCCAGCTGGTAATTCGCTGTAAATAATCGGAGGCAGGTTGCTCTAGTACGCTCATCAGGTCTGTAAACAGAGCTACCCATTCGCGCCTACTATATCACGGCAGATTCAATTCTACATTTTTCCCTTATTGTTTATTTGCTAACGCATTTAACGTCCCTCTCGCGTTTGCCACCACGCATTTTTTTTGCCCAATAATATATTTTCATTAACGTTTTCTTAAAGTTATGTCCTATATTTTAGCGAAGAAAAGAGACTCATAGGTTGGACGCTGTAATGTGTCACCTGTAAACACGCCGTCAGTGCTCAAAGGAAAAATCCCAACTTAATGCAGAGACAGTTGTTAGGGATAGACGTATCGCATCTAAGAGGATTCATGTAGAGAGGGTCATTGGTCTAAGCAAGACATTTAAATATTAAAAGAGACCTGCCCATCAGAAGATTTCTCTCGGTGGGAAGAATTGTTAAGGTGTGCTTCATGATTTCCAACTTTAGGCGAGCTGGTAGCACATTGTCGCG